CCCTTGATAACGAATTAATATTCGTTTTTATTTATGGTTTTCTAAATGCGTATGATGAAAAACTGACCACTATTAATAAACGAATATGCGGATCGACGTAGATCATTACAGATCATTAAATGTAATCATACACTAATACCCAATTATGTAAGAATGACGTTATTCAGAAGATGGTTATAATATAAACAAATTTTGCAAATTTTGCAAATTTCATCTGGTCCTCTTGATATTTACTATGTTTTATAATCGATCGATACGTCTTCGTTCAACTTCCAGCTTGAAGCTGCACAGGCCTCATGGCAAGTTTGGTGGATCCTTTAACGTATGTATGTTCGAACACACCGTTATGAAATTTTCTCTCTTTTTTTTTCTTAAATAATCACTCGGTCTTCTAGTATACGTCTTTGGGATACGGTGATCATTTTAATAAGGAAAAAGATTCACTCGACCATGGGCCCAACCTCAACAAACCAAACCGCAGCACTGATGCTAAGAACAAAAATCGACAAAATCACAATGCTCAAACTTCGAATAACAATAAAAAACAGGTGAAGAGTGAGAAGGATGGCAATCGACCTATACCAGAACATCGTCGCGCACCCGATCATGAAAATGAGAAAGATGAGGATTATGTTGAAGGAGACTATTGGAGTGAACCAGTCGGACAAACCAAAAAACCATAACGTGACATAAGTGTCCATTGGTATTATCTCGTCCATATTTACCACACGGATTCGTTCTTTAAATAAAGATTGCGGATCGCGGTAATAAAACGAAGGGTGAGAAGAATGACTGTGTCCTTGACAATATAACTATCACTTCGATATTTTAAAAAAAAAAACAATAAATAAATAAATGAGAGTGTTCTCTACTTTCGCTCAATTGTTCAAATTTTTTGTAAAACGTCGCGACTTGTGCGTCCTCGGATTCTATGCACATTAAGCAATCCGAATTTAATTTCCCGAAAAGGAAATGTGGCTTAGGCTGATGATGTTAATAAAAGTCGTTGCTTTTTCGGCCCCCATAATTTCACATTGGGGCAATGATCGAAAACGCCTCATTGATAAAACAGGGAGCCGAAGCTGTAAGTAATGTGAAAGAAGTTTGACGATTTAATAATTGGTGTTTATCTGATACCGTCCATGCAAAAAAAAAGCGCGTATACACAGCTCCTTTCCTAACTCGAAAGGCAATTGTTAAAGAAAGGTTTAGAAAAACTTATCGCCACCCAGCCCTTGATAAAAAGCTTACTGCTAGAAGGGTTACTCAGGTTCAAATTTTTTCTCAACCGCCTGATTCAACTATTTTTATTTTGTTTGCTTCGACGAATTCCCTTTTTGTTTACTCTGACGAATTCCTTTTTTTTTACATGGAAAAGGAAGCACGAAGTCTCTTCAAATGTCATAAATCAGGTGTTGATACTCCGATACTATACTTTGTAGATGTAGAAAATAGTACAATATATATGGAGTTTGTTGAAGGAAAAGTTGTCAAGGACTTGATACTGGAAACAGATGGAGAATGGTCCAG